TGCTAGCCATGAGTTGTATTTCTAGTTTATTTGATACTTGGCTGCAAGCGCTTTTCTTACAACAATAACACCGTGTGGTGGTGTTGCAGGATAGTGCAAAGCTGATCGGCAGATTTTTAGCTCATTCATCGTAAGAACTTGACCGAAAACTTCCAAAACACTACGTTTTCGTACTATCTAAGGCGGTTACATCGTAGTACCATGCAAGGTGCTATTCGTACGTACATAAACAATTTCTTTAACTCATGTCCCTACCAAATCTACTTTTCCTTCCCTGTTATTCACTAAACATTTCTCTTTCTCTCAGTTCCTCACGCTCGTTCAGAAAATCAGGAAATATTGGTGGCCATAGAAAACAAATATATGAAGCGACACTGTGCTTGTATTGAACACCGTGCATGTTGCGGTGCATAACAAATATAGGGAAATGTTTCTTTGCATCCGGTACTGCGTGCTAGCATGCGTGGTCTAGCACGATAATTTTGTATTATTCCATCCTTTACACACCCCCTCGTCAATCGTGAGATCTGCCAGTGCAATAACCAGTTTTGAAAAGAAATCGTTTGGTGTGTTTCTTGTCAGTGGAGAAAATGAATGAAACGGCAGCATTATTGGATGGAACACCTGCCCGTGACCCTGTCATTACTGCCATACACAGGCAAAAACCTTGTTTGATCAAGCCGTTTATTATACCCACGCATCTAATAAAATGGATAGAACAGGATAACCTGTATGAGTGCACCGCCAAACCCACCAACAAATTCACCAACCCAGTACTTCCACGAATCACCCCAGTGACCACTAAAAAGCACCGGCGCCCAAACAATTCCTGGATTGAACGCACCGCCAGACGTTGATCCGCCAAGATACCCCAGGAATCCGAGCGTCAGCCCGATAACCACCGGCGCAAACATGCTCCTGTCTGGTATTTTGCTCTCGCTCGGATCAATTTGAAGCTCTCTCTTGTCCCTTTCTTCTTTCTGCTTTTTGTATGGATTCGCTGCCATGGCGAACACCGAAAAAACGAGTATGCCGGTAAGAAACATTTCGATGCATATCACTTCTCCTGTTGTCGCGTCATCGGCCTGTTTAGGCCGTATGATATTCATCAACGGCCTGAACGATCCGGGAAAGCATCCCTGCACGACCAAAGAGGCAATCATGAATCCGATGCCTTGCGCAATGATGTAGAAGAAGCCGCTTATTATCGGCACCTTACGAAAAATCACAGCTGCAAATGTTATAGCAGGATTAAAATGTGCAAGTGTCACGTCCACAAACAGGAATATGATCACCACACTGACAAACCCGATCGATAGTCCTATCAGTATCGGGCCCGCAACTATGCCGTTGAGCGTGGTTGTCAGAATGGCAGAATACACCGTAAAGCCAAAAATGAAGGAACATGCGCATTCTGCGATGTAAGACTGAATCTTTGAGTATTGGATTGATAGTGGCATGTCTCAAATTTTTGTTGTTTATTTAAATGCCCATCAAACGATGCATTGATAAATGGATAATTTAATTTGGGCTTTGCAGTGCACTTTGATCGCGTATGTGATAAAATATCGTAAATATTTGCTGCGAATTAAATATTTGGGCATCTTGACCAACGATCAGATTGATCGTTATTTTACGTGTGGAGCGAATGATATTGGTGTTGTACTACCGGGTACCTTCCAGAATAGAGCCGTGGGAATGAATATTTTAGCGTGTGAGCGATTTGTACGGACCAACATTTTCTGCCGAAACGAACATGGTACTGCATTTCATCCAAGTAAATTATTAAAAGCGGTGCTCATCATCCAAGTAAATTATTAAATGCATGCTCATCATCCAAGTAAATTATTAAACGCGGTGCTCATCCTCTTATCAGCATGGTAATCGTTTGCTTGCTCCATCTTTAATGTCCGATTTGCCTGCAACTACTAATAAATCACATTTTTACCATTTAATCTTGTCATTTTGATCAAATTTCTATATTTTCTCATTATGATGCCGTGAATTGGCCCATGGCCACGATCGGTGTGGCAGACCAAAAAAGCACATTATTTAGGCGTTGTGGCGTGAGAAGGTAGACGAACGTGTTCTAGCGAAGACAATTTTCTCGTTATGACGTGGTAATTATCAACAAGATAAACCGTGATGGGCAACCAACCAAATATACGGCCCGCTCGTCCGTATGAGCGGAACAAGCTTATTAAATTGCGCCAAGTCCCGGTACTTTTCATCTAAGCCATCTATGGGTGCCTGCCCGTTCATAAACGTAGATGCTACCGAGCAGTACTCTATTTCTAATATGTCATGTTCTCGTCGTGTGCGCACGCCGAAGAGATGCTTTGGAAAGCCGTAACAGATGCACCGTAGATCGTTGTGACATACTGCCGTTCCCAACATGCACAGCACACCAATTTATTGCCAACAATTTGATTTGATGCAAAATATCAAATATCAAATATCAGAGTATGTTTCAATCGCTTCAATTGTTTTCAATCAAATTGCATTTCCATCTTTGACACGATCAGAATGTTATCGCAATCACGGACTGCATGATATACTTGTGCATGAGATGAGGTTATCACGTTGTGAGCAAACGTTTTGGTGCATCTTTGCTGCCAAGGGCACGCTTCGTTACGCAAGTGAGCGGTGCTGCAGCAGGGTAAGTCCCAATTAACAATTGCACTCCGTGGTACGAGGAGATGAACAAACGTACGTGTAGTTAGAAATAGCGATTGCTCCGTTTAAAGTGGTGTACGAAGAGTTTGGACCGCACATATTGGCACGGCATTGCATTTCACGTTTAAGTTGTTGTTCTCAGCGCTTCCAGCATTGCATTCTTTTAAATTTATCAAAACTACTTTCGTGCACCGGGTGCATACGAACACAGCATTGCATTCTACGTTACGGTCATTCCTTTATTCGTAGTTTGGTGAGCGTTCTTACAAAATGATGTTGATGAGCGTTCTTACAAAATGATGTTGATGAGCGTTCCTACAAAATGATGTTGGTGAGCGTTCTTACAAAATGATGTTGGTGAGCGTTCCTACAAAATGATGTTGATGAGCGTTCCTACAAAATGATGTTGGTGAGCGTTCTTACAAAATGATGTTGATGAGCGTTCTTACAAAATGATGTTGATGAGCGTTCTTACAAAATGATGTTGATGAGCGTTCTTACAAAATGAAGGCTCCACATGTAAGGAAGCGATGTAATGCAGCGGTACTGCTATGTAGACGTATTTGCTGTGTATAGGTCGTAATTACTGCTCATGTTGCTACCATCACCGATCACAATGTTCTTCAGTTCGGATACGTTCACAGAGACAGAACTAAGCCTGACATGCACATTTCGTGTGTGAGGTATCAAAAAATGCTACGCAGCGAGTCATGAGCAGGAAAGTGTTGCAGAGCTAAAAAACGCGAGCGGTGCTGTGCAGGCAGTAAATATGCAATTAATGAAAACGAATATTTCAAAGGAAATGAAAGGATCAGACGGTACAGCGAGCCTGTGGTTGTGCACCTTATCTGCTGTACAGGATGGGGCCAACGGCCGGCAGCTTCGGCACGACTGAACTGATGCAGCGTATCGTAGATCACTAAATTGCATTGTTCACGGTTGTTCCGCATCCCTGGCAGATGTTGATTTGTTTAACACACGAAAACAACCAATGCAGTTCACAACCCTCTCCTTTTTACCGGCTGTGTGCAAGCAATGAGATTTTCCGATTTTTTTACCCATGCTGCAAATGAAGGAGCACATCGTCTCGTTGATTCTTTCAATTTCGCTGGTCATTTCGTTTGTCTGCCTCAACAAAAGCGTAAAGAACAATTACAGGACGTTCAGAAGCTTCATTACCTTGTTCTGCTCGGCCGCATCAGCGATGCTCAACGCAATCTTAATAGAAAAAAAAGACGACCACGGCATCATTTACACCATCACCATCTCGCTGGTCGTTGCGCTGTGCGACTTTGTCATACTCTACTGCACGATGGAGTCGCTGAAGATACACTCAATCGCATTTATGTTGCTCGTGTTCATCAGCTTTTGCATAGGAACGTTCATCTTTGACCGGCACGTTTCCCTCATGGCGGTGACGATCAACTCGGTGATGATCGTTGTTTTGTTCATGTTTGAGCTGTTTGAGTACAACGGTGTGCAGCTGAACGGAGCAGACCTGGAGATCACGTTTCAGAAGCCGTATATGTCCCTGCTGTTCATATCGATCATAACGTTCGGGTTCAGAATCGTTCTTGTGTATAGATTATCGAACTTGATAGCCGACCGACCGTTTTTCTCGTTCTTCCACAGCCTCTTCCTCATGGTATTTGCACTGATCGAGGCAGCTTACGATTCATGGACGGACGTAAAGATCTTCTACAGCGAGGCCAGTCGCTATTGGCTGATCATCGTGGGGTCGTTCCTTCTGCTACCTGCCGTATTCGTCAGCTCGCAGAACATGAAATGGATCAGAAAGGAAACATTCATGCTTTCCTCAGCGACCTCCGTTGTTGTCATCACGTGTTTTTACTTCGCAGCCGATTGCAACGACGTATTCGGTAAAAATAGGTTAGAAATTGTAGGTACCTGGTTCTATGCCTGCCTCCTGCTCATTTTTACGTTTAATGTGTTTGTCCTGCTGTTTTTTAGAAGAAGAGATGAGAGTCGGGCCGCAATCGTGTCAAATGTGGAAACTATCGGGGCTGATACGCCTCCGCCAGCTGATGCACCGTCTCCAGCCGATACGCAGCCAGCTGCCGATGTAGCGCCCTCAGAGGAGCAACCACTGCCATAACAGGCATGGTGCTGTTTGAATGCGTAGGCGCGGTAAATTGGTTAAGCCTGGCATCGTGCACTCGCTGGTAATGGTACGCGTGATCACCGATACGCGAGCACCGAGAAACACCAGAAAAGCCTTTTTAGGATACTTCGTGTACTGCCAGTCATGCTATAGCTGCTCGATAGTATTGCTGGCCAGAAAAGGCACTGCAACACGATTGCATGCGTGAAGCGAATCGTTCCCTACCGTTCAATTCTGCCCTCCATGTTCATTGCCGTTACCTACGCAAGAAAAAGTATTTGAACAGCAACAATTTATTCCGTGAAGAAGAGAAGATCGTGACTTGTACAACAGAACACACCTCCTCGTACTTCACTCCATACCTTTACCTCCAGCTCATGACTTGTACAACAGAACACATCTCCTCGTACTTCACTCCATACCTTTACCTCCAGCTCATGACTTGTACAACAGAACACACCTCCTCGTACTTCACTCCATACCTTTACCTCCAGCTCATGCAATAGCCGCGCAGTACGCCACGGCATGTAACATTACAACAGTTCTATCTTTCACCATCAACACAGCCGTAATAAATCGTGTTTATTTCTCCATCTAAGTGACCGCTTGGTCTGTGCCTTACAGCCGTAGTAAATAGCTTTAGGATCCGTGAACATTCCCATCTTGCGGATTAAGCCGTGGGCCGGTGCTCAATTTACGACGAATCTCCGTTAAGAGTTGCTCATCGCATCTGTAAGAGGTGCTACAGCAACGATTGGTGGTTGCGGGCCTTCTTTTCACGGGCAATCCATAACGCTTTCTCTGTGGCTGAGAACGCTTCGCGGTATGAAAAGATACGACTGTTAAGTGCTCAGGGCAACCTGCGAGCTGTTGCGGTACCAACGGTTCAACGCGTATGACATGCTCGTGGATGTGCGTGCACCTGCGAATGAGCATCCCATTAAAGATAAAATTGTGAACACCTCATACTGATGATGAATAAAATACCTTTCTGTAACAACGGGAATAGCGCAGTTGGTGAAAACACCATGCTCTTCATGCTCAGAACGAATTAATTTGTTATGATGCAACGTTTTGTTATGCCTTTTAAAGCAACGCACTAAATTTGCTTTTATTCCTCAAACACGTTTAAGCCGTGTGCTCCCCAAATTAGGCGCGTTTCCTCATTCGTGGCAAATTCCGAACATGATACAGGGAATTGGTGCTAAAACACGGTTTGCTGCCAACTCTAAAACTGCAAACACGATTTTGCCACGTTGATGTGCACGCCATGGCAAAGCCTTCGGTGATTGCACTGTTCAATGTGCGTCTGCCATCCATGGCTGTGCTGTATTTTCAAGCAAAACCACACTCCACGTGCTAATACACGTTCATACGCATCAAACATACAAACGAGGACTTCTTCCTCCTCTTTAGATGATTTCTCACCGTGAAATGAGCATTTAAATCAAATTCTCGTTTTGATTTCCTTTGTTTATTACCAGAATTAAAAATGCCTTCTCCTCCCACCCCAATGCAATCGGTGAAAAGCTACGAGCATATTTTGCGAGAGGTGCCCACAGAGGAGGTAATACTGAACAACGAGAGACGGGCGAATATGTTCAAGGGAGAAGATGCCTACGAATATCTCAAAAAGAAGAATCTCGATGAAAAGGTTATTCACGACTTATTTAACACGCTGATTGACGAAGAGGTAATAGTGAGAGGATTGCTTTCCAAGAACAGCAAGGATGTCACAGTATCACTGGCAAGGAAGTTCAACAAGAAGGACAGCTACATTTGGGTGGTTGAGCAGACCAATCACATGCACTTGATACTGTCTGTCGTGCTGATAGCATTCGTTCTGCTCCTTGTAATGTACCAGGTGTGGCCATCTAAAATTAGGAGCAAGATGACGTACGTGTTCTATCCCATCTTTGCGTTCTTTGTGTTCCTGGGCGTGTTGGCTGTTCTACGGCTCGTAATCTTTTCTGTAACGTTCTTCTTCTATCCACCCGGTATTTGGTTGTTCCCGAACTTGTTTGCCGATGTGGGGTTTATTGATTCGTTTATACCGGTCTGGTCTTACCATGGAACAGAAACAAAACCAAAAAAAAAGTTGATTAAGTAAAGCAAAACTAGTTGTTAGTTCCACTTCTTGGCACAAATAGGTAATTAAAGTATGTTGCACGGTGAACACGTGACTCAAAAAACATTTACCCGGTCCACAACTGCTCCGCTATTATTTCACGGCGTCATGGTATTTCACGCACCATGACATGGCAATCTAATTGCGCCGTATATTTCATGGGTATTCTACACGGATAGTTATGAGCATTTGCTTTATTTCCATGGTTTGATTGCGATGCCCTTCATATAATAACTAGATCGAGCTCTACTCAGGCAATCTAAATTGCACCAATCAAATCATGTTTTAACCAAGTACTCATACGATTTGTCATACCTTTTATTCCGTGTACTATTTGCAGGTTAGTTCTGTTGTGTGCAATTCTGCATTCTCAATTTCTGCCAAAGCATGTTTACTTACCTTACACTCCCATGTACCACGCCTAATCATACATCGTTTACACTTATGAAGCGTTTTGGATCGTTCTAGAAACGTAATGGATTGACCGGTACATAATTTACCTCTTCATGCCAAGTTTACTCGTTGCTTCGGGATGAGCCTCTCAAAACGGTTCATTATATCGGTGGTTTTTAGACGCGTCTTATGGTCTAAAATATGAGGATGCATGCTCAAACGGGTGAGCTGCCATGACAACTAAATTATACGTTGGTGTTAAGACAAGTTTTATTATGTTGGTAGCTGTCATGTCTGAGATATAGTTCATGGCAGTATTACGTGCAAATAGCCATTTCTAATGGGAGCACAGCCGTTTTGTCATACCACTATTTTAGCTGCGCTGCCCTTTGTACACGATAACAAACGAAGTAAACTAAAACTCATTGTTACACGTCTTTAAAATACGTTTGATAGGTTAAAACACCATTTTCTGGCAATACTTCACGTCCAAATCCTGCAGCAATTCGTAAAACGCTCAAAAATGATGTGCTTGTGACCACGAAGCAGTACCAAAAATGTAAAATTACACCAATCATGCATATCAGTCAAATTGGTGGCACCAATTTATTTTAGGCCTTGGAAGAGCAACTCGAGCTATCCCAGTCCATGGTTCATATTTTATCACGCATCATGTCGAATGTTACTGATTTGGTCTCTAAGGAGAAGCATGGAAACGGTAGAGATATGATGAACAACGTGGTAAGCAACGTAGCAAGTTTGGTTACAAACGCATCGATAAATACTTTTGGTGCTGATGACGTGCCGCTACCGGACATCCCCCGCTTTGAAAAATTTTACCAGACAGAAATAATTGATGGCGATGCCATAATTGTACAGCACGTGTTCAACGCGCTTTTAGCTTTTGTGATAATTATGTTCATCGTTATAGGATGCTGTTGTATTTGCTACGGCATAATCTTCACCAGCTGTTCATCCTGTGATCCGCTCAGGAAGTGCTTGTGCTGTTGCATGGTGATATTCACAGCGGAATTTTCACGAATAGTAGCAAATACACCGCCAGCAGAGTACAGGAGAAAGAAGAAGAAGAGGCGAAAGCATGGCTCTAAGCGTGAACTACCAGGGAGCAGTACTACGGACACATTCGTTATAATGAACGAGTGAAAGCATTACTCTGAGCACGTGAGCCCAAAGCGTGAACTACCAGGGAGCAGTACTACGGACACATTCGTTATAATGAACGAGTGAAAGCATGCCTTGGAAAGATGATGCAAGGTTCATATGAACGGTATGACCATGGAACTCGTTGGGCTAAGAACTCAAAATCGGCATCCTCCTCGGTAAAATATCATTTTACTTTCTAAAGTGTCTTTTTACCATTTCTACTGGTTCCTCTGACTCAACGGTATTCCGCCCAATTACCACGCATACCAACTGCCAGAAAGTACTGCAGGTGCAGATCAATAAACTTTTCTTCCCACTGATTGTGCAGATCAATTAACACTCGATAACCCAAAACGTATGTTCAAGGAAATTGATTGCAAACCCTGAGAATGAAGCCTTTCTGTGAGATGCCCAAGTTCTTGGTCATGTGTTACTTCGGTTACAGATCATTATCAAAAAACGTTGCGGTCACCAGGAGAAGGCAGTCTGATTAAATGTTATTTTCAAGAAATAATTATCAGTTGCGCGTAAATACCAATCTTAACCGTGAATAGGAAAAGACAATTTTACCACCAACTCCAAGGAATGTATGCATTAAAAATAACGGTAAAGAATGAGCATCCATTTTCTTAGCAACAGCTTTGTTCAACATGCTGCGCACATGCATTTACTCCCTCTAACATTCCTTTTTGGACCTGCACTGCCATAGTCGTTGACTGAGTGCCCTGTTTTGTACAGCTTTACGGTGGAATTGTAGGACAGCCGTGAACTCTTCTGAGAGAGTTCTGGTGCTTTTACTTTAACCGCTTTGCTAAATATGCCCAATCGGATGGAATCAATGAGCACATCCGCATGCGCTCACTCATAAACCCTTTATTTCCGATCTTGCAATATTCGAAACGAATTGTCGCTCATCAGAAAAAGATAAATTAAATTTTCAACCTATTTACAGTTCTATACGAGTAATCGCTACCAGTCATGTGCTAAGACACAGTAATACGCTCCCAATATCTAAAGTGCTGGTAATAAGCGTATTAGTACCAATTTGCATTTGAAGTGGCGTATTAATTTGTCTACTTCCAATATCAAGGTAGCCTTTTGTGTCTAATTACGTAACCAGAAAGCAGAAAATCATATATTTAAAAAACATTCAGCAACCCACACTCAATCCCATGTTAAAACACGTCCTACTAATTTTTTTGCTTCCTGCAGGTATCGGTACAGCTGTAATAAGAGAGCTATTCGACAATGTTGCAGAAGCGCACCGTTCCAATGTTACCGGTAATTTTTCATCACAGTTGGTGAATGAAACAGTTGCAGAAGACATTCCGCGGGCCGAAAAGATCCTTGACTGGCGCTATTTTATGAAGAACGACGAATCAGAAAATAAAATATTACGTGTTCTGGCTTACGCAGCATTGGGATCTTTCGGTGTGGTTGCTCTGTTTTCTGCTGTCTGGTGCTGCTTGATATTTATGGTGTGCTGCAAGTGTTTCAGGAACTTCTTGAACTGCGTATCAGCCATGAGAGGAGGGAAAGACAAAAAATGGCACACTGGAAAGAGGCACAGACATAGAAGGCACAAGCGATTTACAGAAGATGATGATATGACTTCACTTATACACACGGATGAAGGAAGTTATACCACTTATAACAACTCGAGTGGTTACATGAGCGGCAGATCAACTGATACGGGAAGTTCATACACAAGTCGTAAGGCATCGTCGGACTCTACAAAATCATCGTATACAAGCTCTTTAGGTAGATACAAAGGCACCAGCGGGCCATCTTCACAATCAGGAAGCAAGAGTTCGTACACCAGCGGGCCATCTTCACAATCAGGAAGCAAGAGTTCGTACTTCAGCGGGCCATCTTCACAATCAGGAAGCAAGAGTTCGTACTTCAGCGGGCCATCTTCACAGTCAGGAAGCAAGAGTTCGTACACTAGCGGGCCATCTTCACAATCAGGAAGCAAGAGTTCGTACACTAGCGGGCCATCTTCACTATCAGGAAGCAAGAGTTCGTACACTAGCGGGCCATCTTCACTATCAACCGGTCATCTAAAAAATACAACTAATTTACCATATATAGGCAATACCACTCGTACTCACCCAAAACAAAGTCTAGCTATCGCAAGTATACCCGGGAAACAATAAAAAATAAAACTAAGAAATACTAGTTTGTGCTTGTCTCACGTATTGGTGCTCATCATCCCAAGTAAATAAAAATAAAACACAAACGTTGATTAATCAGTACAAGTAAAACATTAAAACTTTTTATTTCACATTTTTGTACGAAGCAAAGAGCTAAGGATTGTCATTCGATTCGTTCTTTCAACACCTGCTCGGCCACCCACAAAAAACATTAAAATTACGTAATTACCTTATGAAAGCTAATTTAGTGCTCTTCACCAAAATACCGAAAACAAGTGAAGAAACATGACATAGCATGTTAAATAATATTATTTGATTGATAAACAAGCTTTATTCCGTTTTATAAACGAGATAGCACGGCCGGTACAGTAGCTAATTTTTAACATTTTTAAATAACTAAAATTTGGTGCTACATTCGTGATATAGCAAGGTAATACACAGTACTAATAATAAACGGTGTAAGGGTAATTTACATTATATGTGTGAGAGTGCTTGCTGTATTTACCGCGTTGATGTTAGTGGCACTAACAGGTGCTATGAGCGACAGAACGTATGCTGGTCTAAGGAACAGCATTTTCAATAACATATGTTATTGTAGCTACTAAGGCCCTATGTTTCGATCGCATTTCAGCAGATTCATCCACAATTTTCATCTCACATCCATTGAACACGCTCTTCCCGATCAAGTACTGCATCGTATATTGCCCGTATTTTCTTCGTAATATGCGTTGCTCAGCCAGTAAAGAACATTTTTGAGTACCAAATCACCAATTTTCTTGCTTTGAATATTTTTAATTCATCTTTTTCCTTATGAGTCGAATTATAAATGAGAAATAAGCAAAGTGCTTGTCCCCCACATGGACATAAACCATACTTTCACCAATATAGCTGGAGCAGACATGCCATATCCCACAGTGAATCCATCATCAACGCAAAAAAGTGTTTTGATAGACGAACCTCACTTTGAAGCCCAGGAAATTGATGACATAATAGTACGGAACGGTTACGAAGACTTCTATTATAACCTAATAATCAAGCTTTTCTACTTTGCAGCTGCAGAGTTCGCTATTTTCCTACTTTTGAATATAGGTTGGTTTTTCATGTGCTCTATAGCCATATATGATACGGAAACGATCATTTACAGAGACGCTAAGGAGAAAGAAAAACGGAAAAAGAGCAAGTACACGATAGTTCCTGAAGAAGAAGAGAGTGTTGACCGGCAAGAGTCAACGGCAGGATTAGCTATCAACAAAGTCAAAAACTGGCTTAGGTTCACGAGGGAAAACAAAGATTTCGATATTGAACGCGGAAGTGCTCGATCAGGAAACCGATACTTCGCGTAGCCTACAGGCACAATCGTATCATGTTGAGAACGCATTCCCTATGCCGATATATCTTCATCTAAGACGGTTATTTCATCGTATTTTCACTGCTATTATCAAATAAACGAAAAGCATATTTTTTTGAACTCATATTTAATTTGTGGTGCTACATAACCTGCCAAACTCCTATTCAACATGCTTTTTAAGATAAATGACCTGATTCACCTGCAAATTGGATACGAAGACTCTGTCAGCGTACCGAAAAATGCGCTACATGCAAAGCACACGGCAATAAACGAAACTGCTCAAACTACACATAAAAGTAAACGATACGCTAAGATTGTTCTATTAAACACCATTTTGCTGTTTATTTATCCGTTATTTCTTTGTGTCTCACACATCTCGCATTTATCCGCTCCATCCAAGTTTCTATACGTACAAATTTGACAGTCCCATTCCTCCTTCTTATGCATTTCGATGCTTTCCGAAAATTTGAGGAACATGAGCGTTTGCAGAAATGTGTCTATGCTCCCTCGTCCGAGTACCGCATCCAGGAGAAGTTTCATGTCGGGGCACAGTTCCTTGTTATTGCCATTAAACTTTAAGAAAAAGTAGAGCAACACGTTGAAGCACTGGAACTTCTCCAAGTTGTAGTCCGTGAAATATTTCGCAATCTTCATTTTACCCCACTGTGGATTGAAGTATGCGTCGCTCGGAAACATCGAATTCTCCGAGAAGCCATGCGGAATGTCCACGATGAGGTACTCGACAGGAACACGCATCGTGTTCTTCTCCACCACCAGGTCGTACTCATTCTTCTCCAGATAGATAATTGAGCGCGTACTCACAAACACGTCCTTGTTGGTGCACGGCTTGATTATGTTCTCTCCGATGAGCACCATGCCCTGCTCCGACACGCTGTAAGCATCAAGCTCAACGCCGATGTCCTTGCTGCGCACCACCAAATTCACAAAACGGCTGTTAAACTCCTTCCCATCCTCGTCTACAAACATGTTATCGTTCTGAAACCTGGCCATTGCCGCAATCTCCAGACATGAAAGGAGATAATCACGTTTTTGGTTGAGGTCCGTGTAAATCAGCCCCACCACGCACAAACCAAGATAATCCAAGAGCGCCTGTATTTTGCTGCAGTTCTTTTCGTGCACAATGAATCCGTCCGGAAAATTCTCTTGGAGGGGATCGTAGATTGCCGAGACAACGGCTGTTTTTCCCAGGGGCACCCTTTCGTAATCCTTGACCCTTCCGAGCAGAAATCCGAACCTGTTACGCCCAGTACCTCGCCAGAACGAGATAAAGTTGTCCACCACCTTTGAATGGTCTATCTCCACGTGGTCTATCATCCTATAATTCTGCTGCTTCAGCGCAATTGTACGGTCCATACACCTCGTGCACTTCACGTTTTCAGTGTGCTTGCAATCGTTTCTGTAGGTAAGTCTTTCTATTCTTTGGTTTTTCTCTTTAAACGCGCCAAAGCTGAGGTACTTAATTCCCCTTTCACGTAACAACTTAGGATCCCACGGGCTAACAGGCGCACAGTTCACACACATGGCATTGTCACCATGGTTGCACAGGAAGTCTCTCTTGCTCGTGCTCTTCCGGGTTTGTGCTACCACCTCCTCCTTATAATCCGAGTAAATAATGTCGGGCAGAACTGTTCTGGTCGGCAGCAGCTCGATGTCAATGCTGTTTGTAAGCTCATAGTCGTAGAACAGGTTTATTTCGCATCCAAAGATGTCCTTCAACGACTCACCTATTTTTTTGCTGTCGTCCAAAGAGACCTGATGGAACTTAGTCGCGGTCATGATGCTGACATCAACCATCGTAAGGGTGCGCAGTGAAAAATAACATAAAAATATTTTTTTGCAGGTGATCAGAGTCACACCGCTGAATGGTCGTTTTTAAGGAGAAAGGATTTGAAGTATCGAGTGATTTGTTCGTGAAGTATTATCGGGATAGCCTGTCGAAGGAATGAATGAATTTTGTTGCAATAAATTTGCTGACCTGCAAACAAAGGGTCAGGTGCAACGGCGTGGAGCAGAGGTAATAAATGTATCTTACTGAATGGTGTAGTGGCAGCACTGCCATGTGCGTATAACATTTGTTCACGTTCATTTGCCATTACCACGTGTTAAGAATATTCGGCAAATTGCCTGACCGATAAGATCTATGTGTACGGTATAAGCGTTAACTTACCTGTGCCGTTCTTTTTGGTGTGCCATAGAAGAACGGGCCTGATCCTTAAAAGAATTTTTGCTGCTTTTATTACAATAAAATGAGAAAAGCACCAAGAATTATCTGATGGTGCGAAAGGCACAGGTTCTCTAAGCAGTCCCTTAATGGTCTAAAGTGCATATTATAGCTTTTGTACCAAAATTCTTACATCAACTATGAAATAAATTCGAGAACGGTACGAAACGTGAAATAAACACGCAATAGCGGTGAGTATAGCACAGCCATTCTACCACATCAAACACGCAATACCCTACAAATAATTTATTTACCCTTCTTTTCTTTCTTATCCTCAATTTTATTGATGTTGTATTTCTTCTCCATATTATCAATAAAGCCCTGCCAGTTTTGTTCGCGTCTCGCCAGAATCTCCGCTTGCAAATGTTCTAAGCCCTTATTCGATACTTTCTCTCTTTTCTTCCTGTACTCGCTAATTCTCTTGCCATACAGCTTATACCTTTTCACTCGTTTATTCACAATTTCTTCATCAATTATCTGCCTGATCCTATCCTCATCGTTATACCTCCCAAACACGAGATGGTCCAACAACCTACCTATATCACCTCTAAACTTGGTATAATACTCTATTATATCGGTTCGTTCCTCTTCGCTGCCTACATACTCATTCTCCATGTTCTGTATTTCTTTGTGTATCTCTGCGTATTTTAGCAACCTCTTGTGTGCTTCAAATATTTCTGTGAATTTCTGTCTGTTGCCGGTCTTTCGATCAGGATGGTATTTTAGGAGTAGAGCGGTGTAATTCTTCTTCAAATTGTGCAGCGTAGAAAGCGTTAGGTTTAAAGATTTGAGGTCGTCTTCCAACATGGGGATAATTTTTTTGGCACTGAAAACGAGGCACTGTGTGCACGGTCAGGTGGTATGTCTGATCCTGAGGGATCGAGCGCACATGACCCGGTGTATGACCAGCCGTAACAAACTAAAAATACGATTATTTACTGCCGAACGTTTAATCAAAATAAACGTACACTCAAAAAAAAGCATTTTCTACGAGTTGCTACGTGTGATCTGATGTGGTATGGCAATCGTTCAATTTTGCCTCCTACCAATATTTGAGGCCGCATGCTGATAATAACACCCATGTTGATGCAAAGAGCAATCACCGATTATCCCAGTATTTGAGCGCATTTCATTAAAATAGTTTTTGAGCTTGTAGCGTTTAACCATTGCTTGGTTAAAATGGTGCATCACGTAGCGTTAACCAAAAATTAGCACTAAACGTGAACGAAAGGTTAGTAGCACGATGAGTGCCACTGCACAAAGAAATTGTATTCAATAATTCTTCTACTTCTACTTCTACTTCTACTTCTACTTCTACTTCTACTTCTACTTCTACTTCTACTTCTACTTCTACTTCTACTTCTACTTCTACTTCTACTTCTACTTCTACTTCTACTTCTACTTCTACTTCTACTTCTACTTCTACTTCTACTTCTACTTCTACTTCTACTTCTACTTCTACTTCTACTTCTACTTCTACTTCTACTTCTACTTCTACTTCTACTTCTACTTCTACTTCTACTTCTACTTCTACTTCTACTTCTACTTCTACTTCTACTTCTACTTCTACTTGTTTCAAATAATTCGGTCAACAACTCCCAGTACAGATTCGTTCCACCACACAGTGCAAATAAATTTGCTACCAAAACTAAAACATCTATCACACAATCTTTAATTTTATGTTACACCCGTCTATACGCTCGTGAGCACTGCTCATCAGTAATCATTCTCACACACTTTTATAAGCTCCCTACAGTACGGGCACCGCGAAGACTTCGTCTTCAACCACGGGTCCACACACTCCTTATGAAAGTTATGCTTGCACCTCAGCACCCTGCACAGACTCTCGCTGTTGAACTCGTCCATGCATATCAAACACGATTCAAAGGGTCTGTTCGAGCCGCTCAGCTTTCCATAGTTGTCCACCACGCACCTGTTCAGCTCGTAAGGCGTGATCAGCGGGTTCTTGGTGGTCTGGTTCTTCAGCCATATCTGCAGGGTTATGAAGCACAGCACGATGAGCACCGTGAGAAGAAAATAGAATGCAACGATAAACACGCGTTCTACGCCGCGGTACACCCTGAGCACGAAATGGTAGCTGCTGTCCGTGCCATCCATCAGCATGCTGTGCATCTGCTTGCTATCGTTGGTGTCCATCGCAAGCACCAGCACCGATCTGCCCTTCATCCGTGCCATCCTCTCCATAATCTCTGTGCAGTTCAGGTAGTAGTCACGTTCTATCAGCAGCACCAGTATTTCTATGTCTGCTGGGAGGTTGTGCAGGTACTCGATGGTTTCATCCAGGCTGAGCACCCTGTAAAAGCGCAGCTTGCTCCTCGTTCCGCTGCTAAAATCGTTCACGCTGTAATCAATGCTGTTCTTTGTGCTTGCACACTTTTCGCGCTGAGTAACTTCAATTTTTCTTGTGTCAAATACCTCGCCATGCACTACGTCCATTTTTACGTGCTCCAGCCTTTTTAGCGAAGATTCTAAGAGACTGAACTTGTCGTTGAAGAGCAGCCTGAGATGATAAAAAAAGAAATACATCATGCGAGAGGAGCTGCAGTTTGTTTTTATTAGTTTTTAATTAATCTGGAAAAGAACGAAATTAAATAGAAGTGTCATTTTTATGCAGTGATGCTTTTGAAGGGAACAGTGCGCAGTTCATTTGTTTATGTGATCATGTTCGATGCTCTGGCAGGCCTGCGAATGGGTACGAGCTGTGGTGCACTTGGTAGGGTGTGTGGTAGAATATTGCAGCATTGCATAAACACATTCTTACAGATAAATATAATAAATAATTTATTTGCATTGATGAACGAATAGTTTATCAATGCAAATGAATTTACCATCACTGCACAGTCATTCTTTACCGTTCAATATGGTCCTTTAAGGACAAAGAATGCCAAATTTGTTACAATCATGACATAAATGCATAAATTAGCAGAATAATAAACGCCACGATACTCACGTTTTATCGTTTTTGGCACTAAAATTAGCAGCATGTACCAGACCTGAGTAAATTGTCAGTTATTTTAGTTGTTAATGCATTGTATCGATAATTAGTACAAAATGGCAGGTAAGCATTGCATGCACGTGTTAAATGTAGCAAAAAGATGATTTATTTATTATTGGAATGAGCGAACTTCTTTTTTAATACCAATCATGAAATACACGCCAGGCCTACGATAAAAAATAATTAAATTTAATACACTGCTACAATACGGCAGAATTAGCAATTTGATAGGAAAGAGGATAGAGCTGTAAATAACGGGGGAATGCGTAGCTGATTGATTGATTAGAAATAGAAATGAGTGTTACCGATCAAATCTTGCAGAACAGAATAATTAAGTTCATGGATGAACTCTTAAATGAAATTGCTTTGCTTATAAAAATAATTAGGGTAATGAGCAGTTACCACTTGACCTGTCAAGCGTAGTAAACTGGGGGGTACGCTCGTACCTACCACATGGCCTGTCAAGCGTAATAAACTGGGGGGTACGCTCGTACCTACCACTTAACCTTTCAAGCGTAAAAAAACGTACTTTTCACTTTTTTTACTTTTTGCTGTTCCACACATACTCCGCAAGATCAGCCACTCGACACGAATACCCGTACTCATTGTCATACCAGCTCACAACCTTAAAGAACGTCTTACTCAGCTGTATGCCTGCTTTGCTGTCATACACCGAAGAATACTCAGAACCATTAACATCTGAGCTCACGATCTCTTCATCGGTATACTCAAGGATGCCCTTCATCCTTCCCTGTGCCGCTCTTCGTATGCACTCATTGATCTGCTCAAGCGTGCACTCTTTCTGTGTTCGTACCGTAAGATCAACCACGCTCACATTCATCACAGGCACCCTGAATGCCATGCCTGTCAGCTTGCCGTTCAAATCCGGTATAACCTTTCCTACCGCCTTTGCAGCACCCGTGCTGCTCGGTATGATATTGCTGAACGACCTACTGAGCCGCATATTTTTCTTGGACACCGTATCCACCACCCTTTGTGTTGCCGTGGCTGCGTGTATTGTGCTCATCAATCCCTCCACGATCACAAACTCGTCATGAATTGCCTTGGCAACAGGCGCAAGACAGTTTGTGGTGCAGCTTGCGTTTGACACGACCTGCTCGCCGTTGTAATCGTGTTCATTAACGCCCATCACGATCATCTTTGCATCTGGACTTGGTGCTGTGATCACAACCTTTTTAGCGCCTGCGTGCACGTGTCCCATGCACTTCTCCTGCTCCAGGAAGAAGCCACTCGCCTCTATCACCACCTCTACGCCGTGATCCTTCCAAGGAATGTGCTCAGGCTTGCAGTGCGTGGTCAACTTGGTCGTTTCGTCCAGGTACCTGAACTCGTCCTCGCTTGTTTTTGTTGCACTGCTCTTTTGCGGCGTAATACTGTCGTACTTCAGGGTGTACGCTGCTGTGGCAGCGTCAAGTGCCGGATCATTTATGAGCGGCACTCTGTGCCCACGCTGGCGCATCACCTTGTACACAATTTTTCCTATGCGGCCGAAGCCGTTTATCCCTACGATCATGGGGGTAATTCTTGACAGGGTTTAAGTACCTGATAAATTAAATGATCGGCAATAGCGGTAAAAATGGTTTGGCACGTTAAACGATCGGTTAACAACAGCATAAACCGTTGCTACACAGAGAAGCGTTGCAGTGTACATGAAATGAGCACCATACGCTCAATCACGTTGATGCCCTGGTGCACATTAGAATGTGCGAAGGGAATGAACGAACGGTCAACCGTACCTGCCACGGAAACGGAAGTATTTGGCACTGCCGTAGTTATGAACGGTAATGAAAGAGCACTCCGAGCTGTAAATGCTTTTGAGTTGTTGCCTTTAATTAGCACGGATAGAGAAGAAACGGCGCAATGGATGTGATTAAGGTTTTGTTGTGGGATGAAAGGGTTAGAGCTGTACGATGGAATAATTGATGAGCGGTGCTGTTGATGTGTAGAAATGTACGTTTGGTAAAAAAGATTAGTGAACGGTACGTGGAGAGAATAAAATTGCTGTTATTGCTTCCTTGTGTTGACATAAGATAGAAAAGTATTTTTTGGTAATATTAAATTTGATGTGGGGAGATGAGTGATGGATTTTAAGTAAAATTGTTTTATTCAAAAAAAAGAGTAAAATAAACGGTGAGTGGTAGAAATTGGTTTTTTGTCAAAGGTTCTACAAAATTATGGGAGATAAATAAGCGTATTGCTAATGAATAAGGGGAAGTGGAACAGTTATAGGATAGTATGAGGGGCGGTAAGACAATAAGTAAGATAATACGGTAGGATAATAAGTAGGATAATACGGTAAGATAATACGGGAAAGTAATACGATAAGACAATAAGTAAGATAATACGGGAAAGTAATAAGTAAGACAATAAGTAAGATAATAAGGGAAGTGCGCGTTAAAAGTCTTAACTTCTGCATGTGAACAGTACTGCACATACCAGTCCTACCGCAGAATATAACAATTTTAAAAATTGTACAATCGCATGCCCAGTCCGTAAAAATCGCTCATTTACTTAAACGGCTTTGCCAGGTCAACATCGTATCCTATCGCCAAAGAAAGCGCTACCACCTTCCTAAGCGCATTCTTAGTATCAAACGGCACCGTTGTTTTGACAATTGTGCCCATTCCAAGCGCACACGCGGTAACACGCTGCGCCATCTCTACCAGGCTGCTCTCAACATCCTTGTCCGTAATATCAGCTATCCACGGCTCATAGAACTGCTTATCGCCATAAATACTCTCCAACTTCATCGCGTACACAAACGGCTGTATGTCCATTATGGCAAGCAGGTTTGCCTGTGAGGGCGTCACCTTCTCGCCCTCCGTAAGCGCCTTGCTGTTCTGTATAATCTCAACCTTTCCCTTCGTAATCTTCGTAGAAATGCCCAGTGCCTGGAAGAACGATGTCTTGTCGGGCCCCATGCTGGTCACTTTCTTTTCTATCCACACGTCTGTCTGTGCGATAGCACCCACCTTCGCAAAGGTATTTCTCTTGTTGTCTTCCACTATCTGCTTGATCTCTCGCACATCACCGTTCGTAAAGATGAAGGCTACGTTGCCGAATATGCGTGACGCGATGTCCTCGTGGCCCATGTCGCGCAGTGCCTTCTTGATCGTTGTGTTCTTTCCGAACAAGAACTCAGCCTTGCCTTGCCACGCCTGCTTGGCAGACTGCAACTGGCTTGATGTTACGTTGTTTAGCCCTACAACGATGAACTGGGTGTAATGTGTGAAGTAATCCTTGGTGTGTGTGAATAAAAGCTGTTTGCGCTCTTTTGGCGATACCTTGGACATTTTTGCGGTGGGATGGGTAAAAAATTTTTTATGAATTTGCCCGTGGATTCGGTGTAAGCCGGTGACAATGAGCGGATCCACGTACTACACCTGCAGATTCGGTGTACGTTCTGATTAAAACAACAAAAAGCAAGTTATATGCACGGTACGTGCATAGGAATCTGCAATACCACCAAAAAGTGCACATGGTGCGTTCCAGCCCCTTAGTTTTTCAAGACCGGATCACAAAAATGTGTGTGAAGGCAAACAAACGTGCTTTGTGCGAAGAAATCATTTGTTTGTTCACAGTTGTACCACCACACCAATTTAAGGAAGTTGCTGCACAGGATAACTGAGTAAACGCTCCACGTGTGCTCATGTGTTTTTAATTGCAGCCACCTCATCCGTACCGATAACCATGGGCAGAATTGTTTTGTATGGAAGCACTCGGTGGTAGAGCGCAGCATTTCCAGGTAAAATATTTTACAGAAAAAAGGTACTTGGTGATAAATCACGGAAATAAATTAACATTGATTTAAACCACGGGTGATTATGGAGCAGAAATAGTTTGATTGCTCTGGCGGCGCAGATGAATTTGTACAGCAGGTGCTGTTGCATCTTTTTTCATTAAAAGTACGTTTATTTATCTTCTCGCACCATCAGCACTGTTCTCGGCCATCAAATGGTACAGATGAGGAAATTTGTTCGAGATGTACTGGGAGAAAACGTATAAACTCGCTATTTTACCTTTTTATGCGGTAGATGCACCATTACTAGCGGCGAGTGATAAATAATTGCCTTGATGGATGCGCATCAATTGTTAATTGAAATTGATGGCACTTTCTCACTACGACACATCACTACCATGCATAGACCCTGGCAATAACGACCCTTTATCTTGTACAGCTGGCGTAGTGCCGAAGAATGAGCTGATGAAATAACAAAAAAGTTTTTTTGCGCGTTCTACAGAACGCGTTAATGAAAATTTGGCGGTTGGCCAATCACAGCCCTGAACTGCAGATCAGTGTTCATACCGCTGTGAATTTGATTGAGATCATATCAAAAAACAAACGAATGGTGCCCATGAAATTAAAGGACCTGCACGATGTCCCGCTTAAACAGAAAAAGGTGCTACTCTACGCAGATTTTAATGTTCCTATAATTGACGGTAAGATAGTGGACACCTTCCGGATAGAAAAGACGTGGCCTACCATCGTTCACATACTGTCACGTGAAGCTGAGCTGTTGGTCATAGTGAGCCATTTGGGACGACCTGATGCGCACGAAAAGGAGTGCTTTAAAGAGGGTGCGAGTGGCTTAAAACATACGCTGCTGCCCGTTTATGAATGGCTTTCCTTACGAATGAGCATCGCATTCGCACGCGATCTGGATGGCTTGGGAGAAAAGAAGGGCGCAGTGTTGTTGGAAAATACGAGGCTGTACGACAAGGCGTACCTGATCCAAGAGCTGAGCTTTGTCGATCTGGTCGTGTTTGATGGCTTTAGTGTTGCCCACAGACCGCTACTCATCCCGGGGGACAAAAAGGTGTATGCGGGCCTGCTGATGCGCGCAGAACTGCAGAGACGAGTGAACAATTTCGACCTAGTCATCATGGGTGGCAAGAAGATAACCGACAAAATGGCACTTATAAAACACCTCAGCTTCAAAAATATCTTTTTCGGTGGTGGAATGAGCTTCAGCATTCTCAAACAGAAGAATGTGCCGATAGGAAGCAGCTTTCACGAGGACATAGATTACCAGGAGCTTTTGAGCTCACATGCTGAGCAAGCCTTCACGCTCCCCAACGATTTTTTGGTCAGGAAGGGCGATAAGTACAAGGTAGTGGATAAGATCGATAATGGGTGGATGGGCGTTGACATAGGACCGAAGAGTATAAAAGCATTGAAAAAGCTGATAGAAAGCAGCAAATGCATATTTTGGAACGGACCGATTGGTATGTTTGAGGATGAGGAGTGCGCGAATGGTACTATGCAACTTGTGAAGCTGCTGGAGAGTGCAGAGAAGAACGGGAAGTATGTGCTGGTGGGGGGTGGTGAGACGGCGTATGCAGCACGTATTTTTGGACAGTTAGAACATGTATCGACGGGTGGAGGTGCTCTGCTCAGTTACATGGAGGGTATTGACATGCCGGGCCTGAACGCCTTAGAAAGGGAACACTAACCGGACGAGTCGTGGTTGGTGGGATAAGGGTGTTAAAGTGCCATTAAAAAGTACATTTCGTGTGATTTGCCTGAACTATGAGGGCGTTTTCCCATCAGAAGTACGTTTATCTACCTCCTTGTACAACGGCATATAAATAAACACATATTCCTGGCTTGTTGACCGATCGTGGATGTTGGCCCATGGTTCATGAAATTACGAGGATGTTTCTCTTTGAAATGTACGAGGCGATACGGTGCAAGGATCAAAAAGGCATGTTTTTTCGTGTGTTGCTGGTATTATGAGACAAATAAATGACTTTGATCAAGAAAGAGTACAGTGCAAGGGTTTTTGTCTTCCTATGACTGAACAAAGGGCATCCTACCGCGTATACGATTCAGGACTTGTTAGAATGTACTTAATGGTTGATCCTCTTTCTGCTTTTAAAGCTATAGGTAAATTAAAAGCTATATATGTGCCACAAATCCTATGCAGTATGAACAAACTCTAAATGTTTTTGCTGAGGTACAAAGATGGTTTATTTGGTGTTTATACGAGAGGATAGCTACTTTTATGGTCGTATACGACATTATAGCATGAAAGTATTGTGTGTTGTGGTGTTTAGCTGCAGTAAATATCTGCTAAGGTAAAAAGATAAGGCAAATATGTGATAATTCCGTGTACTGCAGTCTCCTCAGGTGTTGAAGTATGTCAAATAAACTCAACTTAAGAAATGTAGGTTGACCATGAGCAAGTACATGTTCCTACTAAGGAAGGTAACTAAGCAGATTATGAGAAGCATTCGCCACAGATGATAAATCGGCATCCCTTCAATAAGGCTCAACCGTACCACTGCTATGCACTGATCACTTGTTGTATTTTCATGATAATACAATGTGATCAATGCTACTGAGCAATAACAATACAAGAATTTATTTATACCGCAATTTTTGTCTCCTTGTTCTTGCACGTTGTTCTTTTTTGTGCCGTTTTCTTTCTCTTATCAACAACACTGTCTCTAAACGCAGCCTTTCTGCACTGTCCAACCGGACCATTCTGGTATTATCGATAGCAGTTACCGGTAAACAAATCGCCTTCGTATCAACATATCCTTGATCGCGCACTTTAATGCCCATAATATCATTTGTTGTCTTGTACAGACACTTCTTATTCTTCAATCGTTCATTGTTATACGCTTTCCGCGGGCTGCTCACCTGATTTTGCATCAGTTTTGTTTTTTCTTCCTTGGACTTTATCACATTCGCAAGAGCAGCCATTTCCTTTTTCAAGTTGGCTATTTCTTTGCTCTGTGCTTCCATCAATGCTTGTTCCACTTTGCAATGCATATCAATTACCGTCTGCTCGCAATTGCGTTTCCGATACTTCCTTTCCATTTTCCTTCTCATACCATACCGTACACATGCTATACCTATGAGGAATATGTTTATAATGAATATGATAATTATTAGACTTGCTGCGATACCACACGATATCTTGAGAGTCATGTTGATTCCATCCGATACTAAATCGGATTCTTCAAATTCTCGTGTCTCAACCACTTGAGTTGCTGATGCTAGCTTGTTTTCTTGGGAATGAGGCATGGATGGTTTGAGGAATTTTCCGAAAGAAATTGTGACGTATTAACATGTCTGTGGAATATTTTTAAACTACTAATGACCGTAAATGGAAGTGCAATTATTAAGCGATATACACGGTAAATTAATGTAAAGTAAGTGTCACGTGGTAAATCAGTAATGTATTCAAGAGAATTATGAGTGGTATTATTTTGTAAAAATGAAAAAATGCCGGTCTATAATCACTCATGGCGTAACGCGTGATATAAATCATGCAGGTGCAAATACAGATGAGAAACACGTGTAACAGAGCAAAAAATGGAAATATTGGTGCTACAATTTATTATTAGCGAAATACTGAATATTTACCAATGAATATTCATATTTAATAACTAGATTGATTAAAGTACTAAAAGCAGATTCCATGGAGCAAATATCATTGGCCAAGGTCGGTATAAATGGACCACAGGTGTGTCGGATGTTATTGATGCCTGAGAAGACAACAAAACATGCTTTGGTGAAAAAAAGAGTACACGAACGAATAATGGTATAAAAAGAACTATATCATAAATAAATGTTCTTTGCACACATATACACAATATGCTCCATCAAATACGCTCTTCTGTTCACCAGGTTAAATATTCTATTCCTATGAAATAGCGTTGCATATAATTATTCGACCAGCCAAATTTTTCTTTCATCACATTGTCATTCTAAGCAATATTGATAAACGAAGTAAGGAGATTAAATTATTTATAATTTGTTGGTATGAAACGAGGGTTGCGAATGTATGTAATGATTCAGATGCGATTGGCACTTGGTGCATACATGTCATGCATTAGAAATCAGAATATGTCGGCTGACGAGAATAAACAAGCACCTTATGCGGTTCCTAATTGTTTATATAGAACGGTATCAACGATTGAAAGGATTGCTGCTCTTGAACAATGCCGTAAGTACTTTAAACAATATCTTTTGAGGATGGAACATGTGTTTAGGATGGAAAAATACCTCAGATCACAGCATAGAAGGAATTATTCGAACGAAGAGAAAGCAAGAATAGCTTATGAGCACATAGGTTACTGGCTTGAGAACAGAAGACAGTGGCAAGAGATGTTCAAGCAGACATCACAAAAAGATTCTCGCGGAAATGTGCAGTTGAACAACAAAAAAATGAAAATGATGGTTGATGTTATGTATCGCATCGTTAAAAGGATCAAACATCTGAATGATCTTAACAACGTATTTCGCAAAACACTACGAACCGATGATACTTACGAATGTTATGTAGATTTCATGGATGCCTGCCGAAACTTTTTTGCCATGACGCATCCCTTAAATGAAACAGTGCTTGGTTCAGTGAGTCTCTTGGAGCGACACAAAATTAAAAAACTTATAAAAGGAATGAGGCGTTTACTTCGGAAATATGAGCATATTTTGTCTGACACACAGATGATCTTTTCACGATATTGTATAGTGAAATCGCAGACAAGAAGTACAATGCTAAAAAAGGAATAGAAACGTATTTAAAGATACGAATAAACGTCTTTAAACAAGTGATTGGCATACCACGTAACCTGAGAGATATTATGTTTAGAATAATCGATTTATTTTTGATTAAAACCTAGTTATATTATTCCATTTATAAACCAAAACAAAATCACCACTCATTAATAGTATTTCGTTCTTTAAATATGCCGTACTGTTTTTCACTTTTTTAAATCTTTAATAGAGCTAGTGTATTAATTTTCGGCTGGTAATATCGTACCATTTTCGTGTTATTTTATTAAGAGCAGCTGAGAACATTCTGGAAAAAATAAATTTTATGACAATTTTTGACTCCATATCCATGCAAAGATGTGAAAAAGATTTTACATTTTCTCGAACTGTCTAATCAGCTTTTGGCTGTCTTTGTTATGTGAAAAAAGAACAAACAGTTAATTAGCCATTATCTAGTAGCACGGCGAACTTGATGTAAGTAAAGACAATAGTTATATTCACAGCCACAATAATGGTTGATGTGTGCATGCAATTGACCAACAAAAAAGCATCTACTTGCTTATAACGATTTATCAGCGTTACCAGTTCCTTAAGTGGCAGAGGCAGATAAGAACTGATGAGGAGATCCTCCAATGAATGTTCTAAACCACATTGTTGCAACAAAAGTTTATGACTAACAAATATACCATTATATAGCTCCGTTTCCAGATGTTTTAACGTTTGCTGTTCATTTATCATTTGAATGAGTGCTCTATTTGCACGCCAACACTTAATTTTCAGTAATTTTAACATTTTCATATTTACTCTACTGATGTGATTATTCTTCAGCTCTAAATCACAATCGCTAGCATCAATTTCCAAAACTTCAAGGGCAACAAAGTCTATACCAAAAATGTCAACAGCATCAAAATAATGTTCACAAGTGGAATAAGTTAACATCAAATGTTTAAGTCTCTTTTTGTTGATTGTCTTCAAAAACTTGACTGCGAGCCTTACGTCCAATATTTCAATTGATAAATACTCTAATCTAACCCTAGAACACCGAGAAGACACGAACAGCGGTTTTTTTCTTAACCCATGCAATGATGCCTGTCGTGGATCGATTATTTTTTGTTCCTAAGCACAACATTCACATATCGACCCGAGTTTACTGTCAGAGTACGTAGATTTATACAGTTACTCAGTTCAATGATAATTGTTGCATGGTGCGATTGACATATGGTTTGTGATTTTATGTCTTCAATATATATACCGCACATGTCGAAGCAGACTGCTTTATATGATTCTCCAAATGCTAACTTAATTTTTTTCGGTTGTTTCTCAGTACCTTCTGAAGTGAGAAAAATACATTCGGTAAAAGTCAGATTTTCCAGTGCTGTGTTACTTACTTTCTCTAAAAATTCATCAGCAACTATCATACGGATAATTGTTAGCGTTCGTAATTTTGGAGTTTTTTCAATATTTATAAAATCTTGCACTGTTCTATGAGGTTCATAGATCCGATCTGTATATTCATGCGTCAAGTTATGAAGATATAGATCAGTAATGAAATAAAATTGCTGTATCATATCTCTGAGATCAGATAAATCTTCCAACAACCTACGAACAACAAGTTTCAAGAACATAATACGGTATTTTGCAAAAATACATTTCACCATCTCAATGCTCGTCTCGTCAATAGAAACATTCAATCCTCCCGGTGGCTCTGTGCTGTCCTCTTGCTTAACAGAAAAATACAAACCAAACCTCATAGTCTCGTAGACAAATTATACGGTCTTTGGAA